AAGAGTTTGGGATTGATGTATGAGGTTGTGAAACATTAGGTGTTGTTGATAACTGGGTAGTTGTTAGATTTGTATCTGTGCATGTAGTTTGAGAACTTGGGAATGATGTTGAGGGTGATATTTGGTATTCAGTTAATATTGTTATAATTAATGAAGAAGGTGTAGTCGAGGATTGTAAGGAAAATGAATTCGCTGAAGATGTGATCGGGACGTCATGTGGAAGAGTATTAACTACTGTATTTATAGTAGTAGTTGGCACTGTTGTTGTTAAGATTTGATTTGGATTTGTACAGGATGGACAATTTGCTACAAAATTGTTTACAATAGTAGATTGTTTACAATAGTAACACATCTGTTTTTCTAAAGATAAGAAAATACGATAATATGTTTGATTGTGGTTTATGACAATTGAGGGAGGAATTAATGTAGCTTCCAAAGGAGAGATAAATTTATGTCTTCGAAATCTCAGTATCTGTCTATATTCTGGGTTTGTTGTACCTATTCGTAAAAAATTAATTGGAGTTAATAAATTGAGGCCTAACTTTTTTAAGTTCAGATTTTATGAAAGTGTGAGGAATACTAGGACAAACATTAGAGATCAGTAATCTTTCATTTGGTGTAATTAAGCGTCGAGCTTAAATTATTTCTTGACTGAAAGTTATTCTTTCGTTGTCAGCATTCCAACCGATCCAAGCCGATCCCAACCTGACGATTTACTTGTAAAAATCAACGGAATATTAGTTGATTAGCAACCAAATATACATTTCTTTCCATATGAACTTAATTACCAAGTACGGCAAATTTAAATTTGCCGTTGTTTCATTTGGATTGGTGATTGGTCGCGAACTGTACATGGCCAGCGCGGGATGAAATGTTATTTCATATAAGAACGTAAGTAGTAAAGTGAAGTGATATTCAGTGCACGAACTAGCCTTTCTTTTTGTGATTTATTTTTATTTTCTAAAGTAATACTGTGATACGTTACGTCTGCCGTAAATAGTTAAAGGTTAAAGGGTTTTTTGACATATTGGAAGTTTTTTTTTAATTAAAGTGTAAACAAATTCAGGTAAATTAACCTAAAAAATGCAAGCCATGGGAGAAACTGATTCTATTGGTAAACTGATTAACTGGGTAAGAAACTGATTGCAAGGGGTATTGATAAGTCTGATATTGTAAATTATATTTTGCATAATGGGTTTTCATCTATTCCATACGAAGAACAAATTGTTATTAAAAATAAGGGGCGTCCATTGACTAAAATGTCCCGGCTTATAAATATTAGTACGGGTAAGGGAAGTAATAGATCATTTTCAGATAATTGGTACAGCAAGTACTCATGGCTTACCGGAAGTGAAATAAAAAACAAACTTTTCTGTTGGCCTTGCATTTTATTTTCGAAAAATAGGGGCAAACATCAAAATCCGTGGTGTGAATCTGGTTACGATAATTTAAAGGAATTATTTAGGGCTTTACATAAACATGATATTTCGAAAGATCATACTTACAACCAGATTAAATTAGATTTATTTGGAAAACAAAATATCGATGTTTCATTAGATAATGCCCAACGTGAAAATGCTATTAAACATAACGAAATTGTAAAAAATAATCACACAGTCTTACGTCGTTTAATTGATATTGTATTTTTTTAAGTTATCAGGAATTATCTTTTAGGGAACACGATGAATCGGAGCACTCGTTAAATCAAGGTAATTATAGAGAACTAATAAAAATGTTTCAGAATACGATTTGGAATTTTCTAATTTACTTTCTCATTCGAAGACATTTAGCGGTGTATCTAAAACAATCCAGAATGAATTAATAGAATCAATTAGTTACATTTTGAGTAACGTTATTGAATCTGAGATGTAGAAAATTTGCTTTTCACTAGAAGTAGATGAAACTACCGATATATCATGTCATTCACAATTATTATCAATTATTGTTCGATACGCGTTACGTGGTAATATCTATGATAGGTTTTTAGGTTTTACAGACGTGAGTAAAAGCCATAAGGCAGAATTAATTTTTGGCGTTTTAAAGGACAGATTAAAATTTTTTGATATCAAAAATAAATTGATAGAGCAAACTTATGACGGTGCTGCCGTGATGTCTGGTAAATTAAATGGTCTCCAGGCAAAAGTTTAAACTATTGCACCGCAAGCTTTATTTACTCACTGACATGCGCATAGAATGAATTTAGTTTTGCAGGATACATGTAGAAAAATTAAAGAATGCCGTCTTTTTTTTGCCAGTTTAAGCGGATTTGCTTCATTTTTCTCAAGTTTGTCTAAACGGACTGATGTTTTAGAACGGTTTGTTTCGAAAAAAATGCCAACAGTTTGTAAGACACAATGGAATTTTAAATCTCGGTTAGTTTTCACTGTAGCATATTTTCGTGAACAGCTTTTGGAAGTTTTTGATTTTATTATTAAATGTGACGATTTTGAAAGTGATGATATCTCGATCCGTGAAGCAATCGGTTTGAAAACTTTATTAAATGATTACTCTTTTAACATACTTTTAAAAAATTTTAAGAACGTGTTTACCCAAACCGATTTGATATTCAATGTTGTTCAAAATCAGTTAACTGACATTATTCATTCCAAAAATAGAATAACAAGACTGGTGCAAAATCTCAGAGATTTTCGTAATGATAGTAATTTCCAGTATATACGCACACGCAGTGACGTTTTGGACTCGCTTGATATTTCCGAACCCCAAAAAAAAGACGAAGGCGTGTCACAGAAACGGATCTCGAAAAACAAGTATATGTTGAAATTTTGGATACTATTATTATGCAAATAGATACTCGTTTTTCAAATTTTGAAGATTTGCACATTTTTGACCTCTTTGACGATTCAAAATTTAAAAGTTACGCCAAAGAATTTCCAAGATATTTATTAGACAGGTTAATTAAAAATTATTCATCATTCTTTAATAAAATAAAATTAGAAAATGAATTAAAAGTTTTATATGCTGATCCAAATATTTTCGGAAGATGATATAAGTAACAAGATATGTTTAATTTTATATACTGCAATTCATTACAACAAACTGTTACCGAAATTAATAAATTATTGTCATTAATTCTCTTGCCGACCAACAAAACATACGCAATTTTGAAAGTAAAAAACTTTATTTGCACATTTCTAATTGCTAAAAAGTTGTAACTACAGAGAGTTGTAATTAAAGTCATGCTTTTCATATTAATTTTATTTGGATGTTGATGCAGGGCACTGCATATCATCCATAAGTATTTCATATGATGGTACGTAATTACCGAGGGCCAAACGCAAGCATGAAGAGAGATGTTCGTCAGTTAGCAGATTACGATATTTTGATTTCACCATCTTCATTTGGGAAAATGCAGACTCACACAAGGATGTTGATCCAAAGAATGCTATGAGCTGCAGAGCTACTTGTCTTAAAGACGGATATTTCTCAGGCCATATGAAAGACCAAAATTTCGTATCAGTCGCTCTGGATTTAAGGTGTATATCCGAAATTATTTTCAGTAGGTACCTCATTTTGGACGGAAATGATCTCCATATTGAACGTAACGGATATTTCAGTGGCTATTTTTTCCACGTATTGACAAGAAAATTGATTAGATGTAAATGTTAGTTTCTGTCAGTCAGTCATCTGTCAGTTTTTTAAAATCAGCGAAGCGTCTTTCAAACTCGCTATGAGGTGCTTGCAGTTTCGTCTCGTAATAAACATAATTCAAAGCGGTTATCCTTTTTTTCAACAATAGAAAGTTGTTTACATCCTTTTTGCTAATTTACTTAATCAATACACAACTGGGCAGTATCAGTCATATCGGTTGACACGTCAAATTGCAAATGTGACGAGTTGCAAAAAATTGCAAATTGCAAAGAAAAGTACATATACTTCATAATATCAGTTTTAACTTGACTTTCCAAATCTTTGCCCATGATTTCGATACGTCCAGTAACCGTTGGATGTGATAGCTGGACTTTTGGCAGGTGGTTTAATGGCAGACATAATACCTGTTTTATTTTTGAAGTCCTCAAATAATACATTCGCGACCTCAAATAATGCTTCCTTCACTACCTCTCCATCTTCAAATGGTTTTTTATGTTGTGCCAAATTATAAGAAATTTTGAACGAAGCAATTGTTGCAGCTACTAATTGTTTAATAGGCCTAGTGAACATTGATTGTTCCGTCTTTAAACTACTTTTTAAGGATTTCCGTTTTGCAAACAAAATGTTTTGCGGAAAATCTTTTTCATAGTTTTTTTTGCAAAGTTTTATAATGCCGTTCTAAATTTTCGCGTTTGGACAGAGCAACGGAAGATCGATAAATAAGACAAACACACTTATCTTTCACCATAGTAAACAGGAATTCTTCTTTCCACACAATATTAAAATGATATGTTTTACTCTTTTTCGCGGCACTCATATCGAGTTTCAAATATTAATGTAAATCATATATTACTAAAATGTTTTACTAGTAATAACTTAGTTATTAATGATTAATGCTTGACTAACAGCAATACAATGCCGATACAGCACACTCCCAGTTGCTGATATGCCGAATCGGCATTATCGCAACTTTCAGGTGAAGAGATAGCATCATAATTATTTCGATCATACACGTGTGGTGAGTCAGGACAGTCAAAGTATTTTCTCCAAGAATCGCGATCGACTTCAAAAACTTTGGCGATCGACCGGTCGATCGCGATCGACCCTTTGAGCACCGCTGTCCTATATCATACTGTTTAAGTTTAGAAATCATTATTGTCCTGTCAATGGTTTCAAAAGCTCTTTTTAAATCAAGAAATACTCCGCCTACTTATTTTTATCTAAATTACTCTTTATGTGACATAATGTAACTTGTAACGCTGATTCACAAGAGAATTGTTTTCGAAAACCTGATTGATTATTAATTAAAATTTTATATTTGTTACATGTTTTAATAACTATTGTTTATAAAGTAGGAGTAGGAGTTAAGGGAAATAAGTAAAAGTATTTTTTTAATCGTACTTACGTTTACGTTTATTTTGTTTAAAATAAAATTTATTCTACTGTTTAATACGAAACATAGGGAGGTTTTATAAAGGAGTCCAAGAGAGATTTCAAATTATAATAATTTCGAGGATTTTCCTTCACTGTGAATTGAGAATTTATATCTAAATATTTAACAGCATTCGGTTGTACTTCTGGCCAAATCACGTTTTGAAGTTCTTCGTCCAAAACAGGGGTGGGGTTTCTGAAAAAACAAAGTAACTTATAAACAATGTAACGTGGCAAGTACTTCTTTAAAGTCTAAATTACTTTTTGCGGAACATTTGGGACACTTTTTAGCAGTCATTTGACCCACCATGAATCACATATAAATCAGTACTACTTTATTTATTTATTTATCGTATGGCATACAATAAGAACACATAATTAAAAAATCAATATAAAACGTTACATGAAGTATTACAAACGAACGTTTTCGATCGCATTCAAGAACCCATCTAAATCTCCAGGGAATCGCCATCAAGGGCATTCTTTAACAATGTGACGGATGGTCTGTCGTTGCGCACCACAGTCACCCTCAGGAGTAAGGGCTTTTCCCCATCTATATAAGCTGTCAGCACATTTACCGCTGCTTGTTCTTATTCTGTTTAGCGTTGTCCATGTATTGCGGGTCAGTTCAAAGCCTGGTGGTTTCTGATCGATACAGGCCATTTGATGTGCTTCCTGTCTCGAGTCGCTCTCCCATTGTCTTCTCCAAGCGTTGATCAGGTTGAAATGTTCCTGATGTAAGAAGTTGGCTCTTAGCAATGGAGGATATCTGGAGCGAGGTCTGTTTATTTCGATATCAAACTTATCATGGTGAATGGGTAGTTGATGGTTAGCCTCGATTTTTCGATATTCTCTGAGAAGAGAATGACTTCTTCGCAGTTTCGGAGGTGGAATGTGACTCAGAATGGGAAGCCAATAGTTCGGTGTGGGTCTAATTGTACCTGAGATCATTCGCATTGTCTGGTTTAATTGGGTGTCAATAATCTTCGTGTGTTTGCTATTAAGCCATACCGGGCAAGCATATTCAGCCACCGAGTATACAAGTCCAAGAGCGGATGATCTGAGTACGGAGGCTGAGGACCCCCATGTAGTGATAAATAGCCTTTGGACTATATTATTTCTCGTTTTCAGTTCTGCTGTCGTTCTTTGAAGATGTTCTTTAAAACTTAATGTTCTGTCCAGAGTCACTCCAAGATATTTTGGTGTTGAGTTATGAGTGAGCAGTCTGTTTTCGAAGTGGACGGAAAGTTTTTTGTTGGCTTGGGCATTATTCAGATGGAAACAGCACACTTCGGTTTTCGTTGCATTGGACCGTAGCCTCCATTTGCTAAAGTATTCTCCTATAATGGCAAGGTCATCCGCTAGTATTGTTTCTGTGATATCCATGTTATTATGTTTTGCTGCAATGGCCCAATCGTCAGCGTAGCCAAATTTCTGCGAAGTTGTCCTGGGTAGATCCGCGATGTATAAATTGAACAGTAAGGGTGCCAAAACAGATCCCTGTGGCAGTCGATTGCTGAGCTTCATTTGGACAATTTTAGAATTGCCCATTGTGACTTGAAAAGGTCTGTCGGTGAGCATGTTATCAATGAGTTTAGTTACCTTTTGACACGTGCATCCTGGGTAATGCTAAATGAATTAGCGCAATAGGCAGCTAGACAATCGAGAATTTCTAGATCTGGCAAGAACAAATCACGAATATGAGTACTACAATATGTAATAACAACCTTAGAAACCATGCCGTCAATTTTTATTGGTACAGGTGATTACACAAGTGTCGGTCAGATAGCTCAGCGGGCTGTGCGGCTGCCTCTCATTCGCTTCACCGTCGAATGGTTCAGTGGATGTGGGTTCGAGCCCCAGCTCGGTGTACTGAAAACAAAAAGTCTAACGCAGCAGTTTAAAATTCTAGATGAATCTGCGGCTTAGACTAGGATATGCTGGGATCTGATCGGCCTATGGTGGAGCAATAAGGCAAGAGATAAGGGCTTGCGGCTTGGTGATACTCCTCCATAGATCCCTACCGGACGGGCGTAACGCCTAAAAAACCGGATATATATATATATATATATATATATAGATTACACAAGTAAGGTAAACTTACCACTTAAGGGTGGGGGGTCATTTTGGTCAAACATATTTGTACGGAATTTATAACTTAAGTAGTAGGTAATACAAAAATAATGATCTGCGATCTAATGCCGTGTCGTACAAAAATATCGGTATCAGTACCGAGTACCTCACTCCGAGTCGATGTTTGACCAGCAAGCGAGAAAGACGTGTTTTAGTCACTCATTTATCGTGCTAGTTAAATAGTAATTATTAAAGTAAATTTACTTGGAAATCTCCAGCTGACTGTCCAAAAAAAAATTAATTGACTACATCATCATCAACAAACGATTTCAGAATTCCGTAAAATCCGCAAAAACATATACGGTAGCAGATGTTCCATCAGACCATAATCTTTTACAAGGACGTTTCAAACTCCACATAAAAAAGTCCATAAAAGAAAAGCACAGAAACTTCCGGACATCCAGAACTTGAAAGATAAAACCACAAGAGACCAAGTCAAAAAGAAGATCAACAACATAATAAACAACATGGTAATCTTAGATATTAATTAAGAAAACATAAGTGTGGATGATATGTGGAATAAAATCAAAAATATCTGTAATTCAGTGGTAGATAATAGACTTAAACCAGAAAACAATATAAAGAAATGGCCGTGAATGGGACAAGAAATATTAGAGCTAATGGAAGAACGAGGAAAACATAGAAATAAGAATGAGGAAAGGTGGTACAAAGAAATAGACAAAATCATTAAGAAAAAAATTAAAAAAGCAAAAGAATCAAGATCAAAGCTTAGAAATAAATCCCTGGAACAGAAGCATGACACTTTTAACCTACATAAAAAGATTAAAAACTTAACGGAGGAAATGGATCACGAAGTCATAACTTAATACTACACGAGCAAAACAATCTGCTCTACGAAAATGAGAGAATTCTTTAGAGATAGAGGCAATACATGGAAGAATTATTCAAGGCAAGAGACATAGGTCAGTGTTCTGGATGTTCAGGACCACAAAATAACGCTCAGTGAATTAACATATGCAATAAAAAGACTAAAAACCAACAAAGCACCTGGACCTGATAACATACAGGTTAAAAACAACCCAGTCATACTCCTAACGAGTCTACTGAACAAAATCTATGAAACTGCAGAATTTCCTACAGATTGGCCAGTTTCCACCTTCATCCCTCTCCCCAAAAAGACAAATGCCACCAGATGCTTTTATTACAGAATTATAAGCTTAATGAGCCATGCACTTAAAATCTTTCTTTCTGTTATTCACTCTCGCATATATAGAAAACTTGAAGAAAATATTAGTAGTCTTCAGTTTGGATTTAGAAGCGGACTGGGAAAGCGAGAGGCCGTATTTTTCATACAAGTATTGATACAAAGAGCTCGAGACGTAAATTGCGAAGTCTACGTATGCTTTATAGACGTTAAAAACACATTTGACAAGGTAAAACATCAAAAATTATTTCAGATACTTCAGATGCTGTTCAGGGAAGCTATTGATGGTTTAAGAGAAGGTATAAAAATCAATGGTTAAATCATAAACATTGGTGATAATGCGAAGGATCTGAAAACATTAAAAGACCGTGTAGTGGAAGCTTGTGACAGATACGGCATGAAATTAAACTATAAGAAGACCAAAATTCTTGTAGTAAGTAAAAACGACGTAATACAGCACCAATTCACAGCCAATAATGAACCCTTAAAGATAGTCGACAAAATTACATATCTTGGATGCACAGTAAATAAAAAATGGGACCACTCATAGGAAATAAGATGTTGTATAGAAAAAGCGAGAGCTGTCTTCAATCCCCTCAGGTAGATTGTATGTAATATGCATGATCCTTGATGAACATTGATGTAAAAACACGAGTCTTGAGATGCTATGTATTTTCTACCGTTTTATATGGAGTCAAAGCCTGGACCTTGACGGAGGCAACATCAAAATGATTAGAAGTCTTCGAAATGTGGTGCTACCGCCGCATGCTCAGAATTTTCTATACTCGTCATGTTACAAACAACACTGTGATCCAACGTATGAATAAAGATCTGAAAATTATGCGTATCGTGAAAATCAGAAAGACGACATACTTAGGGCATGTGACGCGCAATGGGAAGTATCAACTAATTCAACTAATTTTACAAGGCAAGATATAAGGCAAAAGATCTCAAGGGCGCAGAAGGACATCGTGGTTGAAGAACATTAGACAGTGGGCAGGAATGATTATCATACATCTATATAGAGCAGCTGTCAACAAAGTTGTATGGACCAACGTATTGCCAACATCCACAGAGGATAGGTAACAAAAGAAGAAGGTACTAAAAGGGAGAGGTAAAACTAATTATAGATATCTATATCGTCAAAAGATGTCCCCTTTGGAATGAAAATTCACCTGCTTTAGCATTTTTGCAAATTCCAATGTTTGAATAATGACATATCGGATATTTTATCCAAATACTCCCAAATATCGAGGTGTATTTTATTGAGTAGCCAACCCTGTATTTTATTTGGTAACTTTTGAACCCTACAACTATTTTTAAATCTTATATATGTATCTATATACGATATCTTTTTCTTTTTCTTGTGTTTGTATAATTTAAATGTAGAAACTACACGAAAATGAACCATTCGTTTAAATTTACACGTGAGTTGTAGAAAACGGCAAAGAAAAAGAAAACTAAGTGTCTGTGTCACAAAAGTGGATTCGCCTCGTGAATTCGTATCGTAATAATTTTTCATCGATAATGTAATATCTTCCTTTTCTACTTTCACATATTTTGTACCAATTTATTGCATATGCCGCCTTGCGACTCTTTATCAAATATCTCGTTGGAAATAAACCACAAATTATAAATTAATTCTTCATTTGACGTTTTGGTTTCCATTTTTATTTCCATTTAAAATTAAATATTAAAGTTTTTGAAATTTATTTAAAATATATAATTTGTGGTAAATTTTCAATGAAATATTTGATAAAAGTTAAGTTAATATGGGAAAATATGTTTAGGAAAATATATTGAGAGTTTCTTTTTACATGGAGAAGGAAGACCTAAACATGCCTCAATAAATAAGCAAAACGATTTTGAAAGCTTTCTTTTAAACAAAAAAAAATGAC